CATATAGCCTTCTGCCCTCAGCCCTTTCCTTATCTTCTAAGGTAATGCAGTGCTGCATCATCACAACTTCAGTACTCATCACGTCACCCAGAAAAACGCATCAGTTTCTCTTTTTATTTTGAGCTGGGATTGGATTTTGAGCTTCTCCTTCCTAGCACCCACTTGGGCTCCCTGAATCATTCTTCGAAGACTCTCCAGAGCAGCAGCTCTTTGTGCCCTGTTTATAATGTGAACCTCAGTGGCATTTAGACCACGTGCATGCAGCCGTGTGAATATTGCATCTACGCTAGCAAACTGCTTGCAAGGAAAACCTTGCATTTTCCAGAGATTGCAGTCCAGCACAACTAGGCTTGAAGTTCAGCTAGTGCTTCACCGAGTAGCTGAGCATCTAAAGTAGCAACAAATAAATCCAAATGGTGAAATGAGAGAAAGATGGGGACACAATGTTAAGTACATAAGAAAAACTTAGAAAGCTGAGCTGCTCTGTGGAAACATCCAGTGTCTGAAAAAGATTCTTCTCCAGGTGAATTCACTGATTACCTTTGTGTGGATTTGAGTACATTTTCTTCATTTTCCTAAACACTGTTGTGTTCATTACTCTACTTGTTGTACTCACTGCCCCACTCAGTGTTATGTTATTGAGTCAGGTCATTAGGATACTCCAGATCCTCAAGATGCAGCTGTCTTTGAAGACAGGGCAGCTAAGGCATTATTCATAGTGGACTAGATGCCTTTATTATCCATTAACTTTATGACCTCAGGTGGCTTTAGGGTATTCTCTGAAGTTATTATCCCACTGGCTTCAAAGGTACTGTATAGCAAATGTTGAAACTTCCCAGCCTGATAAAATCCCTTGATAAGACTGGTTTTTCAAAGCATGAGATGTAACTGATGCATTTGTACAAGAGTCAAGTGCGGTTGAAACAAAGCTCCTTTGCTTATGGATCTGCTGGTGGGTAGGGGCTTTGTGATCCCCCAAAATGTCCTGGTCAGGATGCCAGGATGTGAGACCCCTTCTGTTCCAAGGGAAATCATGAGCCTGGCTGACAAACAACTGTCTAAGCTAATATCTGAGGTGTTGAGCTTGAGAGAGGCAGAGACCGAGAGGTGCTGCAGGAATGGAGTGGCTTAGTATGCTGTAAATTGTAAAGTGCCCTGAAAAGTTTGGTATAGCTCCAACTTTCCATGCTTTATCCTGGTAAAGTGGAAACATTTTTATTATTGGGCACACATATCTTCTGGAAATCCTGACCCTCGTCATCTAAAGCAGAAGTGGCCAAGTTCTGACATGCACCTTCCGTTCTTTGTGACAGCCTCTACTCCATGCGTATTGTGTATGTGGAGGAGCATTTTAGTTGGGTTATTTGTTTTAAATATACTGGCTTGTTGGAGAAGGCAAGAGGAAGAAGCATAATCTGCACTTAAAACAGTTAACAACATTTATGATCACTCTGAGGAAGAATCCATCCCTGTTCACAGTCAGTTGTCTTGTGCTCTGTTTGAAATACAAATCAATAGCCAACCCCCCTGGGTGCTTCCCTGGAAGCAGATGAGAAATTAACAGACTGAAAAATGGGAAAAAGCTGCCAACAGACATTAGTCCAAAGTCCTTTCCTTGGCATTACCTTTAATTTCAAAGACCATATACACTTTGAGTTCTGTTAACTAAACTGCTGAGTCTTTTCCTCTTCTGTCATGTTTCTTTTAAGCAGTCAGCAAGTAGGCTGGAGAGGGCAGACCTACACAAACACACCCCCATACTGGGTCTTTTCTTCTCTCTTCATAGGTCCCATCTTTATTCTCTGGCCTGTGCTGGTACTATGATGGCTAAGACATGATAATTATTTTTTTGTGTATGTTTGGGGAAGGAGCTGAGTCCAAAGTACCTGAAATATTATGAGAACTATGTCCTCTTATGTTTACTGCAGGTGGAGCAAGTTTCTTTGCTGCTGGCCTCCCTTGGAGAAGACCATAAGACTTTGCGTGCACATGCAGTGGGCTATATGGAGAGCAGGTCCCCAGCAGAACACAAATGCTAAGGTATTTGGCAGCACAGTCTTAAGATGCCAGAGAACGCAAAGAGGCACGATGAGATAAGAGGGTGGGCACTGAGTCCAGTTACTTGAATTAGTAACTATCTATCAGCCAAGCAGCTTTACCCATCTCTCCCTCTGCATATTACTTAGTCACTCAACAAATACACTTGTGACTGGTGACAGTGAGCAAAAACTGTTGGGAAATCATTCAGAAAAGGAAGATAAAAACTCAGTAGTTGGCATTTTTATAACATTTTCCAGTCTGGATTTACAGACAATATAACCTAAGCCTCAGGCTGTTTCTGTGAAGTAAAAATGTGCAGTTATGCCCATTTCATAGATAAGGAAACTGGTAAAACTGATTTGTCCTAGGGGAACAGGAGGCAGAGCTAGGAGGGGAACCTCCTCTGCCTGCCTCCTGTCTTTGTTTTTAAGCCTCCCTGTTCTTACAGGAACATTTCTGTGAGGCAAATGATTTTTCACTGCCAACAGCTATACAAATATACTTTCAACACCGTGTACATGAAATCCTCTGGCACAGTTTGTATCCACATGCAAAGTCAATGACTGGGAGACCAGGTCTCCAGCTGAATCTAAATGCTAAGTTATTCAACAGTGTAGACACACAGTACGATGCACCAGTCAGCAATGAATGAGAAGAGATAGCCAAAAAAAGTGGGAATATGTTTGGAGGCAATGCCACTAAGGTTTATGTACAGACATATTTTTAATATCTTGGCCTGTATTCAAGGCAGCTTCCTGCTGGGTCATACGTGGGCTTCCAGCTGTCATGTGGAATATGTTTGTTGTTGCATTAGTCATACAGAAAAGGCACCCATTTCTCAGAAACTGAAAGAACAGGCTTAACAGAATGACTAATGTGCCTCTGCAGAAACTTCCCAAGTACTCCGTGAGGTGGGTGCTCATACAGCTCCTGAACTAACGCCAGGGAAAAGGCAAGAGTGATAAGCAAGGCTGTGAACGTCATATGATATTCAGAGACCAGTACTGTTAGTACTCGTGTCTGGGTATTCTTTGTTAATGCTGGGGGTGCTACTGAAAAAGCTGCGGAAACTTCTGGTTTAGACCTCAAATTTTTCTCCAGCTCGAGCCCATGGAAAAGGTCAGGTTAATATTGGAGGCACAGAATTGAACGTTTGCTGATGAAATGGGTCTATATTTCTACTAGGACTGTGTACACTGCTTACAAAGATTTACGGCAGAGATCCCTGAATTAGTATTGGTCAAGCTAGCATGGGTATCGGTAGCTCTTTGACCCCAACAGTATGGGGATCTTCACTGGAATTAAACCTGTTTTGTAGAAGAATTTTTAAGGGAGATGCTTTGGTTTTGCTTGAATGCATTAACTAATTCAGTGTAATTTCACTTGTCTTCCACTCCTGCGAGATGAAAAATCTTAAATTCTTTTGTATATATCCCCTCTTAACATAAGCTCATAATAATGTTAGTATTTCAAAAAAGTTCTCTTTTCTGAACTCATTGGTGCCAGGTTTGCCAGTTAAGTATCTTTATAACAATCTTTCCCATGTGATTTTAGCAGCTGATATCAAAGTCCTAAATAATAAATCTTTATAGTTCTAGAGCTGAGTTTTCTTCCAAATTTCCAAGTAGCTCTGAGGTTGTTAAATCACGTCAAATCAGATAGTTCCAAAGGGAAGAAAGACTGTCAGCGAGTCAGAATGATGTAGCATCTCATACATTTCTCACTGGTGTACAGCAGAGATCTGAGGGAGACACAGTTTGAGAATATTGGAGAAAAAGATACAGAGACATAGACTCTGGAGAGAGCACTGATACTGCAACAGCATCATCAACGGATTCGGGGCTTGTCACTGTTCCTACCACGATAGCTATATTTTACTGCCTAACACCTGAACTACCGCTGCTGAAAAGGTTGAGGGTTGTACATTAATATCATCGTGACAAATAAAGAGTATGTTATTGCTTGGTGGGGAAGAGGAGGTGAGGAAGATGAGTGCCTCCCTCCGCTCCTGGCTCTCCAAGCCTGCTGGCCAGGTCACTGACTACATCTGCTGTTCATTAAAGTGCAGAAAATGTGCAAGAGGTTGGAAAGAGGCTCAAAGTGCAACCAGAAAGTCGGTAACAGTCCTGACATCCCCTCTCTCCATCACAGCCAGCAGTCCTTCCAAAGTGCTAGCAATGTCGGCTGGCATAAAATCCTTTACAGGAGTTGACTGAGGTGGTGCACTGTTACATTTCCTCTTCCTTACTGTAAAGATTAGGGTTTGGGGGGAAGAGTTATATATCACTTAAAAAGAACCATGAGAGCAATGCCATTTATATATATATATATATATATATATATATTTTCACATGGGTGTTTGTGTAGGGTGGGTGCTAATGTTGTTAATTCCACCTTTTCCCTGGATTTACTCCTGAACAGAGACTTGTGGCTCTCTGAGAAGTGCCTGAATCCTTGCAGTGACTTCATGGCAGCGGACAATACAGCACACCGGTTGTGCTGATGAGAAGATTAGGTACAGAGAGATTGAGTGACTTGCCCAAAGCCACACAGAAAATCTGTGTCACTTTGTAAATTACTGCAGTCATCTTCCATCCCCTTTGAAATCTAACATTTTCCCCTCCCTTGAAAATGTGTGTAGAAACATTACAACCTTTTATTGGCTTTCCAGAGGCAAAATCACTGATCACTTATGCCTGGCTAAAAGCGATGCAGTTGCCGATGCTCAGAGTGGTTTCCTTACCAGTTTTGTTTGGTTTGCTGTGAAACTCCTGCTGCGGATGTTTGAGTCCTTGGAATTATTGTTTTTTCATTAGTACCTGAGATAAAGGACAATGAGACACTTTGATTCGAAAATCCGTAACACAGCTGGAGCCAAGAGGTTCCACCCCCCTTTCCACCCACCACCACGCAAGCCAAGTGTCAGGCTCTGCCAGCACAGTATTGCTGGTGTTACTCTTTCCTGTTCTGCAATGTGCAAACAGCCCGGTGACATAGCGGGGTAACGCTGTTTGAACAGTCTCTTCAGTCAAGGATTTTTCCAAAATAAATTGGATGGGAATCAACGGACATGCATGTGAGTGTGATAATGCATATTGCACGGGGAATAGAAAATGCAGCATGTTATGGCAGGAAAGAGGCAGGAACATTTTCTCAGCAAATCTGGCTTGACGAGCTAGCAGGCGGTTGCAGAGGCAAAAGAGGACAGGCTTCTCTTCTGCTTTGCAGGACGCATGGAGTTGGTAACATCCTGGGAGCGATCTATGGAAGGAGAGGGGTAAAGGGATGCCCCTGCTTTTTTGTCTCACCTAAAAGATGTTACTTAACATTGATTGCCTACCTAAAGTCTCTGCTTTCTCAAAATCCCCTGTGAAATTCACCCATTGTGAACAAATCGCTCTTAAACAGCTTGCTACTGGAGGAAAGGACTCTTGAGTTATTTCTAGTGGAGTACTATCCTTTGTGGAGGCTCAAAGTGTGCATTTTGTGTGTCATTTCCTAGGGTGTGCTTTGAGAAGACCACCTGGGTTGAGACCAGGCGCTTTCGCTCATCCCTGCATAGAGGTGGACCATGGTGTTTCTTTGCAAGCTGGACCAGCAGTGATCTCTGTCAGTCCTTGGACATTGTGTCAAAGGGTGACAGGAACGACTCGTATTTGATCTTGAAGATCTTCCCAATAATTCAAGATTTCTTTGGGCTGGATTTTTTGGGCTGTCCCTGTTGACCTGTGGCATTGGTGGGCTGGATTCTGGTAAGTGTTTCTAGTGAGGCTGGTATCTGACAGCTGGTATATCTCTGAAACCTGGGGAAGAGGGGATGAAGGAGGAAGCTCCTTCAGCAAGGCGTGAAGGACAGTGAGACCTCAAGGACTCTGCGTCTCTAGGAGGACTCCTGGTAAGGGAGGCTGAATCACTGCCTTGACGATCGCTCGCTTTAGCGGGGAGTTGGTCTGTACTGTTCGGGGTGTGCCAGCGAGTAACATCAAACACAGTAACACATTTCATTTCTCAGATGGGGTTTCCTTCATGCCGAATCACACCTTCCTCCATACTTGCTCGTGTGCGAACACTTCAACACTTGCGTGGGCCTTCTCTTCCAGAAGGCGCTGCCCTCGCCGCCGTCGCATGGCGGCCAGGCTGAGCTGGTCACACACAGCTGACGAGCGTGGCAGTGGATGCTATTTGCCTCTAAGTCCTGGCCAGACACCGGGAGCAAAGGACTGGAGACTACAGTAGCGGCAACTGTGTTTGCTTGGGGCTCGTGTTACCCTGCTAAGCCCCCATTGAGGCAAATGTCCCCGAAGCTGTGTCCATGCATTCCTCCAGAGCCGGCTGCCCCCAGTAACACCTTCACGGGACAAGGTGAAACATCTCAAGCCTCAAAATATTCTTCTTTCAGATGGCCACCTTCTGAATGGCCTCTGTTTGCAGAGCAATTCTAGTCAAGCGGAAAACATGACTTCTCCCAGTATACCACACCGAAGTGAACCAAAACCATTATCAGAAGGTTATCAAAATGCTTGAATCTGGAGTCAGCTTTGTGCTATATAAAGCAAACTAACATTTTGATAGAAGCGTTGCTGTGAATGAAAGTTAAAATAATAAAAAAGGGTTAATTTTCTGTTGCAAAGGGAAGGTTTTTGGTTTGTTCAGGTTTTTTTTTTACATTCTCAGAAGGTTTCATGAGGAAGATTCCCTTTGAGCTGTTCAGCTCAGCTAAAGAAGGTAGAAATTTTGCTTGGTCTTGTGACATTTCATGGGACATACTTATTAGCCCTGACACTTTAGTCAGCCAGTGTGACATGCCGGCCAGTCTCTATTTTCTTGCTGATATTGCAGCAGTCGCTGCAATATATAGAAAAATCCCCCCCTACATGACACCCCTGGCCATGTGATGGGAGGGAACGTATGGCGACACTTTCATATTGGGAATATAATGAATTTCTTCACTTTGCCTGGAAGCAGCTCCCAGAAAAGCAATATTAAGCAGTGATGTTTAAGCAGCAGTCCTGAAGGCGGCGGTGACTGCTGCAGCGTGGGCTGGAGTGGCTCAGCAGGTTGCCTGATCCCTGCAGGAACCAGGAGGCTGTAGGCTCCCGGGCTGCCCCTCAGTAGGAGACTGTGTCCTTGTCCCCGTGTGTCACTGACGCGGCAGGTCCTACACCCGCTCCCACTGCTGGAGGGGGCTCGTAAGGACAGCAGCTGGGAATGGCTGGTGGGAGAAGTGGAAACAGCACCTTTCCCCGCACTTGGCACATACAGACTGTTGATGAACCGTTAATAACTTCTGTATGGTCACCAAGTGTAACAAGAAAGGGCTACTGAATAACCCAGTGTATTTTAGCAGCTACATTGCTATCTCTCTAGATAATATTTTACTTCTGGTTTTAAGTTTTTGCTGTCCTTGCATGATGTTACACTGGAATAAACTGTTCTCTCCAGTGCAGAAAGTGTTCAGGGAAGGACATGTAAGAAATTATGGGAAGCAAGTTGCTAAAAATCCTTTAATTTTCAGTTCCCAAAAACTCTAAGCCCTCACACTGAGCTGTGCTGTATGTCACTGACACATAGGTCCATCCAAAATATGCACTTCAGTGCGGAATAGGTTCTTGTGAAATGTGCGGGAGACAGCACTGGGGACTGAAGTCCTCAGCTCCTCTGTGAAGCCAACCCAGGGGGGCAGCAGCCGTGAAATTTTCTTTTCCCTTTGCTGCAGTGTGCCGTGGCTCTCACCCAGGGAAACCTCTTCAAGAGGGTACAATTCAGATAACGACTTGGCAAGCCCTTCACTGCATCAGAACTTCGGTTTCCAGGTTCACTCCGGGCAAAAATTAACCTCTCCTGTGTGGATGTGGCAGCCCTCTGGTACGGGGCTGTTGTGCTAAAATAGGCACATTTTATGCCTAATATGGCATTTTCTTGAGCTCTTTGTTCCCCTTGACCAGCACGTCTGTCTCTGTGGTTTTCTCTTTCCCCTGATGAGATTACCACCCTGTGCTGGGTGTAAATTAGGAAGAAAAAATTAGGTGCTGGACCAGTCTCCTGGCAAAGTCCATCTCCCATCTCCCCTGCAGGGCAAAACACTGGAGTATGAGCAGCAGCAATAGTGATTCCTGCTCTGCCGCTGAACTCAGCAAGGAGCTGACGTTGGAAAGGGGCTTGGGAGACTGAGCAAGAAGTGAAGAAGCAGAGCTGCTCCAGGGGCTGGGAAAACTACCCTGCAGTCTGAAAGGGAAGCAAACGTTTGGTGTGTGGTCGGATTAATTTCTGGGCTTCACCACATGTATACACAATGAGCAGATAATAATCCGTGGGGATCTGGGTAGAGGTTTAGAGTCAGCTGTGTGGGTTAGGAAAGCCAAGGAAAATTCCTTGGGAAGGGCACAAAGAATTTGCCTTAATGGGAAGGGGGTCTGCTCCATCAGAAGGAGGAATGGTGGGCTGGGATGGGGGGAGGAGGTGCCTCATACACAGCCACCCATGCCACTTCTCCATGGTGCCGGGCAAGAGCGTCCTCTGGCAAAAAAGTGTGCAAGGCTGTCTTCGGGGCTTAATAAGTACAACGAGGAAAGGCCCCTTCACAGCCAGCGTTACCCTGCAAGGCACCACCCCTTGTGATTTTCCAAGCAGAAGGGCACTGGGAACAGCAGCTCTGGCACAGCGTTGCAGGGCTTCACGGGATTACTTATTCACTGTGTTCCTGGAACAGCTCCAGGCTTCCCGTCTCTGCCTCCAGTGTACAAATTCATCAAGTATCCACAAGGCTCACAGTCCCCAGAGGCAAGAGAAGACAGTAGGAAGGTGATTCATATTGCAAATCACACTGTCTCCGAAGGACCTGCAGGGCTCTGGAAAGACCGAACCAGTATCCTTCCTTCTTCTACCTCCCTAACGCTTAATCAGGGTAATTAAGGCAGCAGACTCAGTCTGGATGGATTTCATTGCCGGGGCCATTGGAGGTAAATACATAAAGTAGTGCTTGTTGGTGAAAGCAGATTGCTGTGTTTCCTTCTTATTCAGCTAACGGGCAGGTCTCAATGGCAGAGCTGAGAGTGTTTTGACGGGGGCTGCTTGTTAAAAGTGCATTCTTCTTTATTAAACGGAAAATGTCATCAGGGCAGGTTCACAGAGCTACTGGAGAGGCAGCACTGCAATTTGGTCGGCTGAGGTCACTGCCCTGCAATCTCCTCCGGTCTAATTGCAGCGGGACAGGGCAAAACTCTGATAGGAAGAGACAAAGTGGAATACGTTGCATGCAGATACAAATTGGTGAGTAATGCCCGGACAGCAAAACCTCATGCGTTTGGTGCCTGAGGGTCCTGGCAGGCTGTCGGGGTTGTGGCTCTGGAGGGCTGAGGACGCGAGTTGTGAGACAGGAGGGGTAGAGGCATGGCTTTTCACAGTGGAAAAAGTCTGAATGAACGACCTTTGCATTATCTTAGGTTAAGATGTATTTGCAGCTGTGATGGTAATTTCAGTGCAGGCGTGCTACGTAGTAGGCTTTGATCTGGGAGAAAGTAGGTTAGCTATATATAAAAAAAATGATAAAAGTGTGATTTAATTCTAGACATTTTTAGAGCACGTACTGCTCAAGCCCAGCTTTGTTTTAAACAACAAAATGTAGCCGCTGGTCTCATTTCTTTTCTGAAATCTTGTCAGATTTAACGGAGTATTAAATACCAAGACAAGAGCCTTGGGGTCGCCACTGCCAGAAAGGCCAGGTAAACCTGCCAGATGGCTGAGATGCCCAGCCCAAGCCTGCATGTCAGATCTCACTTTGAGATCTGCTGAAATTTGGCAGTTTCCTTCACCAGGAGCAGCCTGTGGTCCTGGTGCAGATGTGCATTTCCTGGGAAGGACCACGATGAGTTTTGCCCTGCAGCCCCTTATTGCTTGTCACCCAAAATGTGCAAGTGGAGTGAGGTTTGGCATCTCAGCGGCATCCAGCCCCGGAGGTGCCTGTTGGTCAGGGTGTTGGCCTTCCTGGGGTGCTGGGGGACCCCGCTTGGGAAGGATCCTTCCTGGGAGAGTGGGATATAACCAACCCCTCCGTGACAGCTTGCCTTTCTCCTCCTCTTTCCTTGCTGACTTCAGAGCGCCCAGTGGAGATGGGAGCTCTGTGCTGGGGCTGGCAATGGGATGTCCATCTCAGAGGGATTCACCAAAACTCCCCTGAGACTTCACGTTAATGGTGGGGCAGCGACGATTGCGTTTGCTGCTTGGACTCCTTTGCTTTTGTTGTCACAGTTGGAGCTGAGCCACTTAAGGATAAAGTTCTTTTGCAAGGGAATGTGGAGAGTTGAAAACACAGTTTCAAAGTGGCCGTTCTCCTCAGCCTTCTGCCCCTGCTCTCATGCAAAGCCGTGGTTTGTGCGGTGCCCCCCTGTCCGGGCACCAGCATCGTGTGCCGCCCGGCCATGCAGCAAGTGTTTCCCATGTGTGCCCTGGAAACAGGCTCAGCCTGGGAGGATGCAGGCTGGGGAGCTCCAGCTGGGACCAGAAATGTCTTTGCTTGTTTTAGCGCACTTCACTGACCCCAGGGTGTCAGACAGCACGATTTTTTCATCCTGTCATCTGGGTCCAGCTCAGGGCTTTTCTAAGAGGGATAATGCAACTTTCCACTGGCAGACAGGGGTGTTTTCTGGCATGCTGTTCCCTGCTGGGAGCTTGCACATAGACATGTGCCAGGTACCTGGGCAGGGCTTCAGGGCTGTGGTCCCTACCCCAACACGGGACAGCTTCCAGGGGTGGAACAGCTTTCCTGTGAGAACTGGGATATTTTTGGTGCTGAGCTTATTTCATGGCTTGTGTTTTTTAGAGCTGAAGCAGTTTTTGCATTCCCAAGGAGGCTGCAAACCCAGCTGAAGTGCATCAAACAACTCAAGATAATAACAAACAGCACAGATAATAACAGAGTTTCTGTTTAGTAAATTACATTCTTGTGACCTTGATCTGTTTTCGGAGTGTTTTGGAGAAAGCATGGCTTAAGTACCTCTGAAAAACAGCAGAGATGCTGCCCTTTTGAATCCCATGTAATGATCCAGCCTGGCTCAGGCACCTGCACAAATATTGTGCATCTCCTCTGAGCTATTGCTTCTGTTGGTCATGGGACAAGTTCAGCATCCTCAGCCCAGGAAACAGTGACCTGCTGTGACTCCAGATGGAAAAAACTTGGGAGAAACATGCTTGGTGACCGTGGAGACTTTCAATAACGACCAAATGGGGCTGTATGTTGTGGAAAGCAGCTCATCTGTAAGGATACCCTTCCTGGCCAATAAAGCTGAGCAGGAGGTTGGACTAGAGGCCTCCTGAGGTTCCTTCCAACTTTAATTTTCCTGTGATCCCACGCATGTTTTCCAGCCCTGCTACAGCAGCAGCCTGGGCCACGGCAGGGAATGGGTATTGATGATTAGGGCTATCGATGACTAGGGGATGACTTTACTCTTGTGCCAGGCGTAAAGATTTGGGAAGGGGAAGCTGAGGTTCACCCAGCGGTGACAGAGCAGCAGGGTCTGCAGCAGGCCAGGGCTTCTCCACATCTTGCTGCAAGGTTACACACCAGTCACGTGCAGTCCAAGGGTAGATAAAATAGTCCACCTATGGAGGGAACATGCTGTCTCCTTGTCCTTACAGCTAAAGCAGCTCCTGCTGGCCACTGCCAGGGTCATGTTACTGGATGGAATTCAGCTTGTTTAGGGTACGGGGCACTTCTTATGTTCCTATCTCTTCTCAAAGTAAAGGTCTTTGGAAGTTGCTGTCTACCCATCCAGCACATGGACCGCAATCCCTGCTTCTCCCTGGGTCTCCCAGCCAGGCGTCTGCCAACAGCTCAGAGCTGTTGCAGCCCGGTGGGCTCTGTATGGCTGCCACTTGCTCTCTGCTGATTGCCGTTGCGGTGGCCACCCTGCCAGGATCCCTCCTTATTTGAATTGCCTGGTTGAAGTGGCCTGACTCATGAAGAGACTGTGAGTAATCCAGTTTTGAACCTGCACTGTGTGCGTGTGTGTGCGCGTAGGGGATGCCGCAACCTCTGCACAATACCCAAGAACATCTCAGATAAAGTAGGCATAAAAAATGGCTCACTACAACCCAACAAAGATCATTCACCTGGTTTTGCCATTTATTTTCATCACAGCTGGTGCAGCGTTATGCAGCAGGAGTCCCACAGGATCCCTCTCCCGTATGCATGCTATGCATTGCTGGCCTTGTTCGTTTCTGCTGTGTGAACAGGGCATGTGTGGGTCATGCTATCTTTGTCCCAGGCTATTTATATTGCATGACACTGTGCAGAGCCTTTCTTCCTCAGCCTTTGATGGACTTGGCTGAGCTCCTCAGGTCTGAAAACTTAACTGCTCAGAGTGCTTTGACTCTTAAGGAGCGCGGTTCACGGCAGACTGTAGTTGTTTGGAGGTTTGGGGTGCCCACATCTCCCCTTTGGTGGGAACAGTGAAGGATTTACCCTTATCGTCTCCTCTCAAGTGGAGATGTTTGGTCCTTGCTGGCACCAAGGTGAGCCCCTAGAACTGAGAAGCAATGGGAAACAGGCCGTTTTGGGGCAAACCTGCTTTATTTTGTCTATGCTGCTGCTGTCTCTCCATCTTAATGTGTGAACAGGACAATTTCTCCAGAAAGGAGGACACTTCTTGTCGAACACTGACCGAAATTGGCCTTGGTACCTGATGTGCATGAGCCAGGGCTCCTACCTTCCTGAGCCGGTGGAGCAAGCTGGGGCTTAGGTGTGCAAGGCACACGGTGCCCCTGCGTCGCCAGCATCTGGTCAGCCCGCATCTGCTGCCTCTAAGGTTCAGGAAGCCTGAAACCGATGTGATGCCAAATCCTCCCGTCTGGGATGGGTTCTTGGGCCAGGGGACTGCACCTCTGAGGTCAGCACAGTCAGGCTGACACTGACTTATGTGCTGCTCTTTCCTGTCTGGCGGGGTCCGTGTTTGCAGTCTGCCGATGGCCGATGGCCGGGAATCTGGGACAGTACAGGTGGCCCCGGGTGACTTGTGTGTTGTCACTCTGCTCGGACCAGAGGCATTGCTCCTTCGAGCCATATTACTCTGTCTGTATATTCCCCCTTGCCGTCTCTCTTCCAACCTGATCTCATTTTGGTTTTGAAATACAGGAGGTGGCTTCTTGGCCCATTTTTCATCTTCATTGCTATTTATCTGGTGGCAGATTTGATAGAGATTTTTGCAGAACAAACCTCATTTTTCTTCAAGCAAGATGCTGTTGGTTGTTTTTTTCTGAATAATGCGCTTTGGGATTGTCTCCCAGTGACTCACACCAGCAGCTGCTGCTTTATTCCCCAATGTAGTGGAGTTTTCCAGAGCTCCCAAGCAGCCATGTAACCACAGGTGAACATGCCTAGTGAAATGCCCACAGCAACTAATAAATTTTTAAGTATCTCCCTTTTTATTTTTAAAGAAGGACTCAATGAGAGGCAATTTCCAACCTGTGAGCCACCAGATGTGCACTGTATCTATGACTGCCTGGCTCCCTGAACGGCTCCTCCAGCACTTTCATGAACCTGATCTCCATCTAAATAGCTCACATGGATTCAGCTCCGTTGTCTCCCGGCCTGATTTCCCCTCAGGTGACTTGGCAGTTGATGTACTGGGAGGAAGTTAGCTAGTCAGACCCTTTATCATCTGTTGTATCTGCCAACAGATGCGTTTAGATCAGAGCTGAGAAATGCAGTGGAGGTAAAGGTAGGGACGGTGGGTGATCTACCTGTTACTGCGACCAAGACAAGTCCGTGTCGGAGCTCTTTCGCACTCCTTATCTGCCATTAAGGCAGTAACTTTGTCTCGTACGATTAATGTGTTTCCAACTCCAGCGGTTATTTTAAGGTCTCAGAATGAGCCTGGGTGTCGATAGAGGATTGACAAACCCCCCCAGCACGCTGGACATGCCGTCACTGCTGCAGGCAGGGAGTCGCAGTCAGCTGGTGTGCGGGGCGTGCTGCTGAGCACGCTGGCTTTGTGCATGCCTGGCGCTAATCTCTCGCTGCCCCTTAATCCTGCTGAGCCCCGAGCGGCGGAGGGCGGGTGTCTCACCGCAGAGCAGCTCTGCCGTTGTGCTGTGCCCCGGTGTCACACCAGCCTGCCAGGGCTCCAAGCAACCTTTGCTTTTGCTCCTTACTCTGCTTTTTCAGCAGTCTTTTGTGCATGTAGGAGATGCACTTCAGAGGCTTAGTCCAGCATGGTGTCATGGACCCTAGTGCCCAATGAATTCCTCACACAGGACTCTAGATGTGCTTTGTAAGCTTCATCCAGGACATGTCCAGTCCCTGGCGTGCAGGAGGCAGCAGTAGTACCTCTCCTGTCTTCAAGACAGATTGCTGAGAACCTGTAATGTGTGAGGACCACCCCTCTTTTCTTAATGTCCTTGTGACCGCTGTTTTTATTCCTTAATATTTCCAAGTCAAGCATGGAGAACCAAAATTGCTCCAGAGACCCCTCGTGTGAGTGGGAATGCTCTGCACCTCACGTGAGGGTGCTTGGTCACAGTCCAAAAATGCTGTACCACCTAAGCTGAGAGGGGGAACAGAAACAGTCTGATATCGTACAAGTCATCCCTTCAACCTTCCTGCCGAGTCCCTTTTCGGAGGGCTGCTCAGAGCCCACAGAGCTGGTGGTGTGCACAGAGCTTTTCTCGCAGCAGTGCTTTCTGTGTTTCCCCCCATCCCAGCTTGCACCATGGTGTTATTCCTCCTGATAGGTTTCCCCTGACACTGGGATTCCTCCTCTGAGCATGCCTTGGTCATGCAGAGAAATCTGCGCATTTTGCTCTGTCATTCTTGGCTCAAATGTCATTGCTGGAGCTCAAGAGAAGTCTGGTGCCAAGAACAGCAGGGCTCTGAAGCTGCATTTTTCTGCCGTTCCCCTAATGGCTTGCCACAATGGGGGGAAATGGTCTGTCGCAATGTGCACTGTTAACCATCGCCGATACACTCTCTGTTTCAGGTGGTCTAAGCACAGCAGTGGGTTATCCGCTGGACACAGTGAAGGTACGGGCTGGAGCTTTATTCCTTGACTACAGACTGAAAACAAACAGGCCCTTTTGCTTTTTCCCCCCCTTTTTAGAAAACTAGTTCCATGATAATGCTTTCATTTTCGTTATATCAACATATTTCACTTTATTTGATTGCATTGTTTTTCTCTCTCAAAAAAAAAAGTAAATTGTTTGGGGATGCTATTTGATGGCTAATTAACTAGTTTGCTGCTATGGCATTTGTTGATTTTTTTTTTTTTTTTTAATCTGATGCCTGCATTTTAAAGTTGCCCTTGTATTCTTAGGTGAGAATTCAGACCGAAAGGCATTACAATGGGATTTGGCACTGCATTCAGGAGACATACAGGACAGAAAAAGTAGGTACTTCTCATCAGAATTGCTGATACCATTTACAGATGCCTTGTTTCAGAGAAGCAGAGCTGCCTCTGTCAGTTTGGGGAGGACAGGCAGCAGTTACATACAAACCATCTGTTGGGAGAAGGGTCAGGATGAAATTTAGCTTTGTCGATGAGCTGTAAGGTGGAGTAAGTTTTGGCTTCAGCAATGTATGGCCGGTGTTTTCAGGCAGGTGCTTTCCCATTCCATTCCCTCTTAAAAGTGTTCTTTTTCCTCTGTTTCCAACTAGGTTTGGGGATTTTACAAAGGTGTGTCTGCATCAGTCCTCACAGTATCGGTGATTTCTTCTGTTTCATTTGGCACATACAAAAACTTCCTTTGTACCATCTGCAAGCTGCGATACGGGGCTGCAGATGCAAAGCCATCCAAGGTGGATGTTTCTCTTGCCGGAGGTGCTGCCGGTGCTGTCCGGGTAGGTAAACAGCTGAAAGGGAAAGCACAACAAGAGCTCTTGTTCACAAACATGGGAGGCTGGAAAAGCAGCGAATGTTTTCTGTCCGGGAGGCCACAGGGGAGCCTGCAACAAGCCCGGCGGGTTTGTTTTCGCAAGGGGTCACGCTCTGCCCGCACTGCCCCCTCGCTGGTCCGCTCCACGGCGTGGCTGAGTCCTGCTGGGCAGCTCATGCCGGATTTGGTTTAGAGCGTCAAAACACTTAAGAACACGCTATTAAGAATGACATGGAGCCTGGCAGCAAAGGCAGAAAAAGGAAGCAAAACAACCTGGGCAGCAAACTTCCTAAGTGGCTCTGACAGTATGTTTGTGTGAGAAAGACGTAACTCAGTGTGTTAAAGCACAGGCCAGGGTTTTGACAGTGGCTGCACAAGCCTGGCATGGTATCGCTGTCGAAATGGGCAGCACACAGCGTTGCCTTGTCAGGACTCAAAACTCAACAGGGCATCACTGAGACGTGATGCTGCCTGGCAAACGTGCATGATCCCAGGACAGGGAGGTGAGGCTGAATTCAGGAGCAGTTTCCCATAAGCAGATGGATCTCTGAGCATCTGCAGGCGCTGCGAACATGGCAGAGCTCACCCCGGTGCCCCGATGGCACGCTGGGCAGAAATGCGCGCCTGGTCACAGGCAATCCTCTTACAGAGCAGCCCAGATGGTTGGGTTTCTAGGTGTTTCCTAGCAGTCAACAACCCTACTTAACACAGGTTAATTTTTTTAAAGTGTTTATGGCCTTGGTTCCAAGTATAGACATATACAAGAGACGATGTATGCTACCCTATAGCTGAGGACATCCCCTTTCCATGCCTATCTGGTTTAATGAGTTGTTATAGGTATTTAATATCCCCTGTTGATTTCTGCCTCACCTTCCACTCTGCACAGTGCAGCTCACACGCATGTGCTGCTGCTGCTGGGTGGGATTTAGCACAGACAGAGGGGAAGAGGCTGGAACTTGCTGGCTTCAGGCAATATTATTGCCTGAAAAGGTGAGAGACAAGGAATTTGCAGGAGGGGGATCAAAACACTGTTTAAATGCAAATTAAAATACCTACTCTGGTGTTACAGGTTGTGTTGATGACCCCTAGTGAAGTGGCTAAAGTTCGCATGCAGACTCAGAGGAACCCACATCCTTCCGTTGCATCTCCCCAGCCTGTTTCCAAGCCAAAGTACCGAGGATCTCTGCACTGTCTGAAGGTGATTGCCAAGGAGGAGGGTTTAGGGGGTCTCTACAAGGGCTGCTCTGCATTACTCTGCAGGGATTGCTCCTCTTCTGCAATATATTTCCTTACCTATTCTGCTCTGTGCGACTGGCTCACACCAGCTGGGAAGAATAAACCAGGTAGGTATCAGAAAGCATCTGGCATTACCTGCAAAAACGGCTTATTTAGTACCACGCTAAGAGGGAAATCAGGCTCTTGGCAAACATCACCCAGTACCTATAAAGCCTCACTCAGATCCGGTCCTCGTGTGGGGTTGCTGTGTGTTTGCTTCCTGGTGTCACGGGGCCGTTTGTGCCCTCCCGGCGTGGGTGCCAGCAGCCTGCATGCAAGGGCTTTGCCAGCACAACTTTGTCCCTCAGCAGCTACTCCTTTCCCTGCGGGAGGGGTGTTTATGGAATGCTCTGGTGCCTAGTATGTGGGTATGAAATCTTCTTAATGCAGAAATAAGATATGTAACTAGAAATGAAACATGGACAAACTTCCCAGGAGCCATCATGGAGCACGGATCAGGGTCAGTCCAGAGCTTGAAAATAAAGTCCAGGTGCAGAATGTAAAGACACTTAAGTTTCCTGGTTGTGATTTGGCTCCAAAAACCAAGTATCCACTTTGAGAAAATATCGAATAGGTGACATTCAGCAAAGAGCATCTTCTTGAGAATTATAAAAATAAGTAGACCCAGCTGAAGAGGGTGTGAGTGCTCTCAGGCTGCATCACATCTAGTTTGTGCGGTGTTAAAATAGATGCTGTCTCTGCATGAGCCAGTATCATGTATGCAAAAATGAGTATGCTGTGAAATCGAGAGGCCACACAGTTTGTGTGAGACCACTGAAAACTCACAACTGCAAGAGCTGGACAAATCAACTGCTGAAAAACATGAAAGTTAGCAAAGTTAGTTAACAAATCTGAGATGCTTGTAGCCGTATCAGTGCAAGTCTTGAGTTAACTGCTCCTCCCTTCACTCTCTCCTCCAGGTTTCCTCGTTGTGTTGCTTTCCGGTGGTTTCGCTGGAGTCCTGGCCTGGGGATTAGCTACTCCCATGGATGTCATCAAATCACGGATGCAAACAGATGAATCGGACCAGCACAAGTACAAAGGCCTCGTCCACTGTGCTAGGGAAAGTGTGAGAAAGGAGGGTGCAAAAGTGCTTTTCAAAGGACTGGGTTTGAACTGCATTCGTGCCTTTCCTGTGAACATGGTGGTGTTTGTAACATATGAAGCTGTGCTGAGATTTACAGATCATTATACAAATAAAAAATAGCTTGTGCCACTCAGTTCAGAGGTGTATTTTGTTTAGGTTTTTTTTTTTTTGTAACACAACAACCACAAACAACTGCTGAACACCGTCCTCTTTGATGGGCAGCGTAAGAAGCATGGACATTTCAGCACAAAGCTGAATGACTGGCGGCTTTGTTTTATTCTTATAGGATTACAAACTCATCAGGGAGTCTTGGACTTATATACAACCTCCCTTTTATCTTGTTAATGTATTTAGACTGTAGCCACTGCTTAGGCCCTTGAAACATTTGCAAATATTTATGTTCTAAAAAGCTGCTAGTCTGATCAGAGATTTTGGTTTCTACTGTGCCAGAAAATGATCTTCATGACCAAGGCAAAAGCTGGGGGGAGTTCATGTTAAGATTTAATGCCGTCCAGTGTGTGCTCCTTACATGTAATGCCGTATTGCAGTCACTGAGTAACTTACATATTTGTGCTTCAGGCTGCAACTTCTCCTTCTCAGCTGTATTTTTGCCCAAGCACTCTACAATTATATCCCTTTGGGAGCAGCTGAAATATGAATCTTCTTGCTTTTTCCTGTCATTGTTTAATGAGTGGCAGACATGGGCTGTTTACATAATCGTGCTAATGGCCTCATTGAAAGTGAAACCAGGCACGGATTCCTGTAAGCCGTGTGATTTTTCTCTCTGCAGCCCTGAGTCCCACAGCATCAGTCCCCTTCTGGAGGCTGATGGCACCGTGGCTCTCTGGAGCTTGGCACAGCTTTGCAGGCAATCTGTTCTCATCCTGGAAGGATGCAAAACCTCTTTCCTTCTCAAAGGAAAGCCTGCCATAAAATCTGTGCACTAGTGGGGTTAGGCAAGTTAAAGGAGAATTGCAAAGTTGTAGAGTATAATTAAGATTTACAACTTTTAAAATGTGCATACTCTGCTCACTTTAAACTGCACTGTTAGGAGCAGCCAAATTTTTTTTGGTCAAAGGTACATTTTGAGAGAATTTCTGACTTTCCTAACAATTATTTCTTTTTCACAAAGGTATAAAGTTTCATCAACACGTCAGCTGAAATATTGCTTCAGAAAGTCCCTAAAACCAGAAATACTTTAATTTGCTCATCCCACCTCGAGAGCAGCATAAATGTTTTCTGTCTCCGTTTTAATCCCTGCATGATGACATCTGGAGTAGACTGGATCCAGCCCCTATCAGATTCTGTTGAAAGTGCATTTTTTGGAGGGAAGGAGGAAGACTATATTTTTAAAGGAGTTCTCATATTCAGGGTTGATGCCCTTCTGGTCCACAGCCACTTTTACCAGTTGATAGCATGGCCTTGACTACACTGACAATAATTTTGCAGCAGACAGGACTTGTCAGCTACTCTGAACATATAAAAATGGATCTTGTACTAGAAGGACAAGTTTAAAATTCTCAGGTGCTACTAGAAGAGAATAAAGGGGACCTCTTCCACTCCAGAGAGTGACCAGTAAAAAGCTCTAGAACTGTCCTCCTGAAATCTAAGCCTTCAACTGACTTTTTAAACATGTTCACAGCCATACTATCAAACAACTATCATAATTATTTCTGTCAAGAATCTATCCAGCTCTTGCAGCTCATCCAAAAGCAGGTTTAAGAGACTGGGTGACCAGGCAGGTGTAGAGTATGTCACCTTACAGGGGAGTGAAATGAAAGACCCAACAATAAGCCTGTTTCTCTCCCAAAGTTCTTATCGCCTCAGCAACCTACCACCCCCAGTTACATCTTGGGGCATCAGCACTAGGCTTCCTTTAGTCAGCAAGTCCTTACAACAGAAGATTTAATTAAGTCCTCAAGATTTGGAATTCCTCTTAAGATGGCTCTTAAGAGACCACTACCCTCACCTCTTTCTACAAGGGATGCATTTGACCGAGTGCTGTCCCAACTGGGTAGTGATTTATCCCAGCTCTGCCTGCATGTTTTCTGGAATCAAACTCCTTTATACTGTATTCTTCTCAGCTGACCTTGTTCTCAGGCATTATATCCTCTGAACAGAGAGAGTAAAAAAAATGCCTGCAAATCAGACTAAACAACCATTTATTGTTAGGCAGTGTTGATACCATCCATGGTCAGCCCAAGATCTGAAAATAAAGTAGCCCAGCTTTCCTAATAGGCTCATGCATTCACATGACTAAAAATGTCTCCTCCTGTGGGCGTAACTGAAATACAGCTGGTTTCAAGAAACAGGAGTTACAGACGAATTGTAAAAATGAGTGGGAACAACTGCGGAAGCTAATGCGAGGGGCTGAGAACTGTAGGCCTCAGGGTATTCAGCACCATATAAAAGCAGGTTCTCATGCGGCCTGAACAAATGCTACACGAGAGGTAAGTTGTATCTTCAGGCAGCTTATTTCAGGAAGGTAACTGCTTTGCAATCCATCCTGTTCACAAGCCTTTACTGGAAAAAAAAATATACACAGTGTATGGGTGACAACCTGCCTTAGAGCAAGAACTCACAGCTAATTCACACTGGTACAAACTACCAACAGGTACAGGAATGGTCTGTGTAAGTACTGTAAACACAGGCACATAAATATGAACCAATTTTTGTTTAATGACATGACACATTGTGCATATTATGTCCTTCACTACAGACACACCAAGCTGGGTGTTTGGCTTCTGGATTTCAGAACTTGACTGCTTTATTTTCTGATTTCTTTGCATTACCTTGACCTTCAGCTACTCTGATAATCACAGAACTATTTATTCTGATAAATAGGCTAGCTGAAGGCCAGCTAACGAATGAAGACACCACATTTGCTGGGCTGATATTGGGTTTACGTTGCTACGGGGACTGCAGCTTGTTGTATAGAAGATTTCTTTCAGTAACAAAGTTGGGGGCCTTGAAAAAAAGAAAATTTTCTTTAGAAGGCACATTCTGCTTCGTGTTTTCATGTTGCTGATAGTTCCCGTTTTCTCTGATGATGTTTATGAATATCCAGGTAGGTTTCAGCATGCCATTTCAGCATGCCTCTTGGTGACTGTGGAAGAGCCATGTGAAGCTATTCAGGATCTGTGCTTTTCAGACAACAGCAACTGCGGAGTACCATGTTTCCACTAAAGTACCAGTCTTCACGCCAAACCTACCGAAGCTTCATTGTAAACAGGTCACATCATTGACCTTTCCCTATTTCTAAGCTGGCTGCTGTACACAGGGAAATGCAACATCCAGTCTTGCAACCAGTTAATCTTTGGACAATTGAGCCTTATTGGCTTGCTCTGGGAGCAATCTGAAGTCTACCTGGTAGGACTGGATAGAGGGGGTTATAGGGCACCCTATTTCACTACTTGAAAGGCACTGGACATCAAAACAAGAACCAGCTCCATCAGATGACTAAATCAACACCTAAAAGGGTAGGAAGAGAGGTCAAAAATAGAGTAAGTGTAAATTAAGCCTCTTAAAAATTAAAAAAAAAAAGAGTAAAATCAAAGAAGTTTGGTATAGACTTTTATCTACATTTTTATTACAGTGAGATGAACAAAATACGAACAAATTGAGGAAAATGTAATGAACATTGCCTGATAACATTCTTAGACATCTCACGCATGCTTTTGAAGCCTGTCTTGTCTTGACTTTTAAATACCTCTGGGATATGAATTGTAATTACAACAGATTTAGGAATTTGCCAGAACTCCTTTGAGAAATTGTATCATTTCAGAAGTATGTTTGTAAGAATTTGTCGGAGTACTTGAGTAAGGTGCTTGCTCAGTAAACAAATACTAAATAATTTTGCTATCACTTTCCTTTCTAGAACATTCAAAACAGATTTTAATTGCTGTGTTACAAAATTAATCCATATGCTAAGTTAGAATAGAACACACTACTGTTCCTCCTACAGCATATTTCCCTTTCCTGAATAAATGAAATAAATCTTCCAGGACAGATCTGCATATAGTATTTTCAAGAATAAATTTGCTTTATGAGTTTGTAAATGCCCCTTAAAAGTCAATTTAAGTCTTATCTTTCATGTATAGGTTAAAGATGACAAAGAGCGGACTGCAAGAACAGGAAGGTCATCGTTAAAGGCTATAGTAACCAAGAATTAGTTTAATTACCACTGGATTTAAAAAGCTATTTTTCTTTTCTAAGAATTGCTCCACTGCTTTAAAAAAAAAAAAAAAAAGCTTTTCTACTGATTGTTAAACACTTGTTAGCACTAAGATACTATGTCTGTGCGTTATAGAGAGACAGCCGCTGGTAAACATTTACTTTAATACATTAAAGTCAATGGCATTAGATTAGCGATGCCAGCTCACGTAAACTGTAAAGAAATAGACAAAAGCTAAGCATTGCTATTTTCAGCATGAGTTTGAAACACTTGCAATAGGACTAAACTCGCCTTGCATTTCAGTCTTTCCTTATTCCTTGCACAAATATAAGCTAACAGGGGCACTTCATATACAACTTGGCACAGGCATTTCCATCTCAGAAATGCAAGGTCATTGCTGGAGGGGACGTGTACGCTGTGTCACAGAACCGCTACTGGTGGGAAGGCAGTGGCACCAGCTCCAGGCAGCACAAACAGCCCAGCACGTTCTCATGTACTAACAGGCTGATCCAAGGTCTACTGAAGTCAATGAGAAGTCTCACCCTTGAAATTTCTCCCTCAACCCAAGCATAATCAGCTGACTTCAAAGGTTTACGGTCAAATTAAAAGTGTGCTTTTTTGGGTTTTTAATTTTTTTTTTTTTTTTTTTTAAAGAATGCTACAGTCAATATATGTCCACTAGGTCCCCCAGTAGAGAACCTGTTAAAGTTTAAATCTTTCACACCTCTTTCAAGTGCCTTCCTTATATTTTTAAATGATTTGCAAATACCACTTCAATATCCACCTGTGTTATCAAAGGTATTTTTATTTGATGCAGATAAGACTACGTTTGGGCTAGTAACTTTCTATTCTATATAAATACAAGACAGATCTAACAGTTTGCATTCAGCACTGTACATATTAAAACGAATTAGCTAATAATTTGAATTTTTCTTCCACAAATCAT